AAGGCTTTAGCTCTTAGGCCATTGCATCTAGCCCCTAGAAATTTCATTTATTTATTTTTTAAAAAGATTTATTGATTTTTATTGGAAATTCAAATACACAGAGAGGAGGAGGAGAGACAGAAAGGAAGATCTTCTGTCCGATGACTCACTCCCCCAGTGACCACAATGGCCAGTACTGCGCCGATCCGAAGCCAGGAGCCAGGAACCTCCTCCACGTCTCCCATGTGGGTGCAGGGTCCCAAGGCTTTGGGCTGTCCTCAACAGCTTTCCCAGGCCACAAGCAGGGAGCTGGATCGGAAGTGGAGCTGCCAGGATTAGAACTGGCACCCACGTGGGATCCAGGAGTGCTCAATGCGAGGACTTTAGCCACTAGGCCAATGTGCTGGGCCCGAAATTTTTTTTTAAAAGATTTTCTTTAGGGGCCAGCACAATGGTTCAACTAGCTAATCCTTTATCTTGGAGCACCTGTAGCCTATATGGGTGTTGGTTCTAGTCCTGGCTACTCCACTTCTGATTTAGCTCCCTGAAATGGACTAGGAAAGCAAGGGAGGATAATCCAAGTCCTCAGATCCCTGTACCCACATGGGAGACCCAGAAGAAGCTCCTGGCTCCTGGTTTTGGATCAGCTTTGCTCCAACCACTGCAGCCATGGAGGGCATGAACCTATTGGGTGGAATATCTCTGTCTGTAAATCTTCCTTTCAAATAAAATAATAACAATAATAATAATAATAATAATAATAATAATAATAATAAAGAGTTCCTTCCTTCCTTCTAAAAGCCAGAGATCCAAGAACTCAATGTCTCCAACATAGGTGACAAGAACTGGTCATGGGGACAGCATTGTGGCATCAGGTTTAACAGCCATTTGCGACACTGGCAATCTGTAACAGGGTGCCAGCTTAAGTCCTGGTTGTTCTCACTTCTGATCCAGGTCCCTGCTAATGTGTCCAGGAAAGGGGAAGGGAGGCGGTGCTTTATTCAGATTTTAACCTATTTTGGTAGGCTGACTGGATGGCTGCTTCAACTCTCCTGTTTTATAGATGGGAAACTGGACATGCAAGGCTGCGCAGGCTTTCGACACTAGCTAGTGGGCTCTGTCCTGGGGCTGTTTCTAACAGTCCTCCACTAGGAAGGCTGTCCCCTCTGCAGAGAGCTGGAAGCTCAGGGACTCTGAGTGAGAGATGCCCCTAGGCCCCAGGACAGCCTTGAGTGAGGCCCCGCTCCCCTCTCCTCCCTCCCCACAGTGCCTGCCAGCCAAGGGTAAGGAGGGAGCCTGCTCACTCCGGCCCAGCTGCCCCAGCGGGAGGCGGAGGTGGAGCTGCCAGGTGACCCTCCACTAGGCCTGAAATCACAGCTACTCCCTGAGGGAGAAGGTGTGGCCTGAGGAAACCCATCATTGCCTAGAGTGCCTCCCACTGCAGTTCTGACCTCACTTTAGAGCTGGTTTCATGGATCTGCACTCACTCAGGGCCCTTGGCTTCTGGGAAGTTCTAAGCCCTAGTCCTTCCCGGGCACTAGGGCCATTCCTATGATCTAGCTTCACTGTCTTCTCCCAGATGATGAAGGATCTGGCTTCTTGCTGAAGTCCCCTTCCCCACCCCACCCAGGGCCAACATTCCCAATTTCTTCCTCCTCCCTTGGGCCTCATTGTGGCCTCTTTATCAGCAGCTCAGGGGAGAGATGGCACTTGTCACTCGCAGATGTAGCTTGCCCTGCACTGGGACGGGTCTCCTGCCTGGCCCCCCACTGCAGCCCTCAAGGCCGGGCAATTTCAGTTAGCACAGGATGACCTCCGGCATCTTCTTGCTCATCCCTGAGGCTGCCAGTGGGAGGGGTGGGGTGGGTCCTGCTGGTCCAGCTCTTCTCTGCTCTTTCCTCATCACTATTACACTCCAGCCTTTCCGGCAACTCCGCCCCACCACCATCACTACTTTTTCCCGTTTCAGTGTCTACCAGGAGCAGCTGCTGGTGGGGGCGGGGGGGGGGTGGAACAATCTTTCTCCTGCCTTCTCTCCTATGATGCAGACCACGGGGTCCTCAGAGTGCCAATTTATCTGAAGTGGGGAACTCTAGCATCCATCTAGAGACACGGCGTGCAGTAGGCTTAACCTGCGCTATGAAGTGATATGAAGACAGTTGCACTGTGCAAGCTCTCCACGGAATCTTCCCGAGAAGTAACCTGGACAGGCAGAGAGACTGAGGGAGGAGCTGTCCAGTTAGAATCCAAGACAGAGGCTAAACCTGGGAAGCCTCACTGCTTTACAGTACTAGGAAAGGAAGAATCGCCTGAGGGCTGCCCCTCCCTGTGTGAGGGGTTTCAGAAGCCACAGGTGATGGAGAGGCGCAAAATGCAACCTTGGAAACAACAGGCCATGGGGGGTGGGACTGTCCTAGCCATGTTGGAGGTAGGCATCTAGCCAAGTGGTTAGAATGCCTGCCTCCTTTATCACAGTGCCCAGGGTTTGGCACCTGACTGGTTCGCCCCATTCCAGTTTCCCGCCTAACGCAGACCCTGGAAGGCAACAGAGATAGCTCAAGTTCATTGGGAGTATATGGATTGAGTTCCTGGCTCTCAGCTTCATCCCACTTCAGCCCAGTCACTGTGGACATCTAATGATGGAAGCAGGGGAAAGTTTATATATATATATATATATATATAATAAGTAATTACAAAGGGGGCCTGGTGTGGTAACCTAGTGGTTAAAGTCCTCATCTTACATGCACTGAAATCCCATATGAGTGCCATTTCTATTCTTGGCTGCTTCAGTTTCCATTCAGCTCCCTGCTTGTGACTTGGGTAAGCTTTAGAGGACGGCTCAAATCCTTGGAGCCCTGTGTGGGAGACCTGGAGGAAGCTCCTGGCTTCTGGCTTTGGATCAGCTCAGCTCTGGCCCTTGTGGCCACTTGGGCAGTGAACCAGCAGATGGAAGATCTTTCTCTGTATCTCTCCCTCTCCCTATAAATCTGATTTTCCAATAAAAATGAATAAATATTAAAAAAACAATTTAAAACGTATTTGTACAAAAGGGGTGCTGGTGGAGAGTGGAGGTGAACCAGAGTTTCTGTAGGGATAGACTTTGAATGATTTATTTCTTTCCATGAATCCTGAGGACCCAACAACCTGCAATACAGGATTTTATGAGCGTGCTGGTTGGGAGATTCTCCCCAGGTGATCAAAGGTGGTAGTGGGAGTTCCTTCCTGGGAGAGTAGAAAATCACTTCTTAGAAGCTTTCAAAACTAGCCAAAGGGATAGCTTGTGGATATGATCACTGTGGAACATTCAAGTTCAGGGAGGTGGGAATGTCTACTATTCTGCATCCATCTCTCAGGTTTCTAGGCACCTCCTACCTTACTAAGAGTGAAGCAGAGGACTGGCACTGTGGCTTTATGGGTTAATCCTCCACCTCCAAGTGCCAGGATCCCATGTGGATGCTGGTTCGTATCCCAGCTGCTCCACTTCCCATCTGGCTCCCTGCTTGTGGCCTGGAAAAGCAGTAGAGGATGGCCCAAAGCCTTGGGACTCTGCATTTGTGTGGGAGACTCAGAGGAGGTTTCTGGCTCCTGGCTTTGGATCAGCTCAGCTCCAGGTGGGGTAACCATTTGGGAAGTGAACCAGCAGATGGAATATCTTTCTGTCCTTCCTCCTCTCTGGAAATCTTCTTACCAATAAAATAATAATAATAATAATAAATATTGTTTTCTAAAGAGTGAGGCAGGTGGGCACCTGGTACAACCTTTAAGATACCTTTCAAGACAGTGGGTACAAGTTCGGGCTCCTCTGCTTCTGACTTGCTTTCTGCTGAGTGTGCACCCGAGGAGGCAGCAGGGGATGGCTCAAGCAGTTGGGTCCCTGCTGCCCATGTGGCAGAGCTACATCAAGTGTGTTAATTCCTGACTTTGGTCTGGCCCAGCCCTGGTTGGCTGTGGGCATTTGGGAAGTGAACCAGCAGACAGATTTCTCTCTGCCTCTGTGTCCTTCTGCTTTTCAAATAAGTACTTTTAAAAGAAGAAGTAAGAAGATGGAAGCTTTTCTGAGATGACATTGTCCCTTGGGAGAAGGGGGCAGGTGAGGGGGCTGGGGGTGAGGAGAGGCTAGGGCCTTGCCTGATGTCTGGCATATAGCTTCAAGTGGGAAACTCAATGATCTACTTGCAGAGTGAATTAAATAAACCTCTATGACCTAGAGAGCTGAGGCCCACCCTGCTTCTTTCCCTCAGCATTTCCTGGTTCTGGCTACCGAGGACCTTTTTTCTCTGTAGCACTAACCTGGGAGGGGTGGGCAGCACTAGCCTAGGACTAAAGGAAGAGGGAAAACAATTTAGGCTTTGGTAATTATCTAGCCTGAGTAATGGGTTTTAGGGACGATCAATGATAGGATCCAGCCAGGTTTTGGTTTATGTGCACACACACACACACACCCAGCCTGGCGTCTCATGACCCACGCTAACAGTTTGCTCTGTGTGTGTACACACAGTGGGATGGTGAGCTGGGCAGCAGTCTACTGGGGTCCCCAGCCTTGTCCCCAGTGAGAAGCAGGGCTCAGCAACCAGCCTGGGAGCGTGGCAGCATGCTATGTCCCTCTCTCAGCTCTGGAGGAAGTTGACTGACAAGTACTGGCTCAGTGTCTTCTGAGGCAGGAGGAAGCGGCAAGCAGCAGCAGGGTGCGTGTCCAAGCACGACTCAGGGGAGCTGTGTGTGCTCATCACTCCAAACCTGAGACGTGGCCTGGCTCACGGCCAGCAGAACCCCATGATGCCACTACCACCTCCACCAACCAGTGAGAGAGGGAGGTGGGCAGGAGCTCTGTGGCACTTCACCAACCTCACCAGCCCCATGGTGGGTAGCAGCATCCACCCGGCCGGCTGGCCGTGGTGGCCCGTTACTCGGCAGCAGTGCTCCGCCCCAGGGGACAGCTGGGTGCCTCCGAGGCATCCCCGGGCTCCCAGATGGATGGCGGCGCACGTCTGTTGGCCTCCCCCGGCCCCAGCGCTCCTCACCTTCAGCTGGGACTTGGAAACTTTGCCGCTCTTCTCCACGTCCAGCGCAGTGAAGGCGTACCAGATGGACTTCAGCAGCTCCTTGCGCAGGGCCATGGCTGAGGCGCCCGCCCGGCCCAGGGGCGGCTCTAACACTGAGATCCGGTTTCAGGAAATGCAAACGGCTGCCGAGACCGCAGAGGGGCCGTGGTGCGGAGCGAGAGCTCCACCTGCCTGCTTGCTCTGGCCTGCTGCTCAGTAGCCCCACTCCCTGCTGGCGGCCCAGGGACCAACTCCTTGATGGTTAGAGCCCTGGCTCAGCGTTGGCCTGGATCTCTGGGCTTGGGAGGTCCTTTCAGAAGTCTCCTTAGCCCCGGAGCTCGCTGGAGCTGTCCTGGTTCCCCGGAGGTCGTCTGCTGAAGGACAAAGGAAGCCCATCCTGACTTGGGAGCCAGGCAGCCTGGGGTTCCGGTCTCAGATCCACACTTACCAGGTGGGAAGCCGTGGGCTACTTCACTTGGAGAAACTCCCTCTTGGTAAGATGGGAAGGATCCCAGACTCACAAGGCCCTATGGGTGCCGGAACAGCTGGGAGGCATATCTTAGGCTCTGTACAAAGCACTTCTTCCAGAGCCACTTAACACCACTGTGGGGTGGGGCTCCACCCAAGAGGAAGAAAACAAAGGCAATGCCACGAGGCTGGGGGGAGGAACGCAGCCGGGCACCTCTCCAGGTCAGGCGGACTCGGCATTTCATTTGCTGGCTCCATCCCCTGGGCATTGGCCTTAAAAGGCATGCAGAGTCCTGCCCACTCTGGGCCCAGAAGACATGCAGATTGTGAGCACTTGTGGGTGAGCCTTGTGTGAGGTCCAATCGCAGTGGTCCTGGCAGTAGGCAGCCACACCTTCAGGTCCAGCACCCAAAGGGTGGTAGTCACACTGAGGATAACAATCATGGGTGCCCCAGACACCTGTCTGGGCCAATTCTGAGACACATGTCCCTCCTCCCACCCTGGTTTTCAGGGTGCTGGTGTTAAGAGTAGCTGGAACTTTTCAGGTAACCCAGGAGGGGATGTCTGGGTCAGGGCGTTGAGGGTGCATTTCCAGGACGCAGGAAAGAGCTTGGGGTACGGTCATCATAATGGGGAAAGAGACATTTCTAATCCTTGGCAAGTCCCTGTTCAGCCAGGACCAAACCTAGAGTCTCTTGCCATCCCATGCCTTTCCCACGTCCCTTCCTCTGGCTCCTCTGCCCTTACCACTTGCTTTGTAGTGGGTCTGACTGTGGCTTTGGAATCCACAGCACAGCCCTAGAGCTCGGCTGGCACCCCAGAGTGGGCTAACAGAGCCAGAATTTGGGCACCAGTGATCTCACATTCTGCCCTTCTCCCACCAGAGCTGTGCCCTCTGGGAAGAGTGACACGAATGCGGCTGCAAGGTGCGACTCTGGGAAGCACAATTCCCCCAGCCCAATCACCCTGAGGCCTGAGACGCAGTCTGGAGCCACCTGCTCAGCTGTGGGCAGGAAGTCACAGGGGCTCAGCAGGGTTTATTGCAAGCAGACCTTCCTCCCTCCCCACTGTGCCCCGGCAGACCAGCTGCTATGGAGGTGTGGAGGCTGAGCGGGCCTTGCGCCAGGGAAACAGGACCGACAGTCTCACTTGACAGAGGAGCTAGGTGGAAACTTGGGAACTTTTATTAAATACTCATTCATCCGTTTGCTGCTGCCATCACCACCCACAACAGGAGAAACAAATTATCAAAATGGAATTAAAAAAAAATAAACCAAAACAAATGAAACCCAAGCGCCAGCCAGTCTCTCTCTCTATATATACACACAGGGCTGTTCTTCTGCCTCTCTGGGCTGGGGGCAGTTGGGGGTGGTGCGGGCTGGGCACCTTTTCTCCAGCCACAGGCCCCTGAGGAATTAATTCTGACTGTGGTGGCAGGGAGTCCCTGGTGCCGAGCAGCCAGGTATCTTGGGTTGCCCTCCAGCCTCTGGGGAGGTGGTTATTGCTGGGGGGGGGGGGGCGGGCGCTGAGTAGGGCTGGGCCAGGCCTGTTCTGTCCCAACTCAACTAAAGAGCCAGCTGATCTCTCCCCTGACGGGCTGGGATCAGTAAGGATAGAGGGCCAGCTCACTGCTGCCCACTCTCCACCTGAGAACAAAGGTGAACTGAAGGCAGGAAGTGGGTCCTCTGTAAGGGAAGGCTCCCCTCAGTGTCTGATGATGACCCACTCCCCATCTGAGGCAGGACCCATCCCCTTCAGGAAAGCTGTTTTTCTGCTGCCTTTTTTGCCTCAGAAACCCATGTGCAGCCACCTCCCGTGGGCTAGCCGCAGCCAGGACCCCTGGCAGCAGGCATGCCTGTGCAGCATGGCACCTCCTCCGATGAGGTGTGGGACCCAGGCCTCGGGCTCAGCAGCCACTCTCCGACACCTCTGTCTCCAAAGTCACGGTCCCTTGCTGCATGGCAGCAGTGGCTACGCTGATGGCCTCCTCTAAGGTCTGCTGCTCTTCCAGCTGCAGAGAAGGAGGAAAAGAAGCAGGACAATGAGACCTTGGCTGCTAGGTTCTAGTGTTAAGTTGTATGTGGTCTGTTTGGTTGAATCTCTTCCATCTACCCAGGCTGATCTGTCACACCCTGAGCACTTACAAGAAGCCCCAGTAAACAGGAAGCTCACAGAAAAACATCTTAGGTTAGGCATGGCCAGGGAGTCATGGTAGGGTCCGGGGACAGCCTGTTCACAGGACAACAACTGGCTGGCGAGGACTGCAGGATCCTCTACTTCTGCCTTTGTATTTCTTAGAATCTGGGGCCTGAACCACAGGTGGACTGCATTCAAGGCTGGAAGAAGACTCACAGTCTGCCTCAGCCAAGAGAAACTGACACATGTGAGGATGTACGCAAAAGGAATCTGCCCCCGGAAACGGTTCTTCTTCAGCCACATGCCCTTGCCCATCTGATTCCAACCCCACTCCCTTTCCTTCCCTTCTCTGGCAGTAGGATGCCTTCCTATACTTCTACCCACCTGCACTGCAATGTGGGTTCCATTGGCTGTGGCCAATAGTGCCACCTGTTGATGATGAAGGGATGCTACACTTGAGTCCTCAGCCATGACAGCTCCAGAAGTGATGATTGTGACCTGAAACAGAGCAGGTGTTGTGGCATAGTAGGTAAAACCACTATCTGTGACTCCAGCATCCCATATGGGCAGCGGTTCAACTCCTGGCTGTACCACTTCCGTTCCAGCACAGTAAAATGGCCCCAAGTGTTTGGGCCCCTGCCCCTCATGTGAAAGACTTGGAGGAAATTCCGGCTTCAGTCTGGCTCAGCCTCAATTGTTGTGGCCACTTGGGGGAGTGAATCAGCAGGAGGGGGATCTGTGTCTTTAACTCTTTAAAATAAATAAATCAATCTTTTTTTTTAAGCCTGTAAACTAGAAAGAATATTCAAAAAAATGAGATCTTCCCACCCACCTGTAGGATTCTCTCTTCCCTCCCACACCAAATAATAAACTCCTTCAAGTAAGGTAGCTTGGCTAGCAGGGAGCAATCCAGAAGGGAATTAAAACCATTATGGGTCAGATGAATCCGCTTGGGGCTGAGAACTAAGGAAGTTGGAATTTTCCCAATTTAGAGCCTAGCTTCGTTTTGGGATTTTGAATCAAATAAGGTAAAGCTGTAAAAACAAAACCAACCCAGAGATAACTTAATGGCCTCATTTGAAAACAGACCCTGAAATCCACGAAAGAGTGGTTTGTCTGTGGTCCTAGCAAACTGGGGTTATACTGGGATCTAGAAACTATCTCTTATCACTTCTTGGCCTTTGGCTAAGATCAAGTGTAGAAACTGTCTCCTGCCTTAAAATGCTTCTGAAGATAAGAGCAGCGAAGGCCCAGTGGTGCGCTGGGAGGAAGATCCTTCTCAGTGCAGAATCTGAGACTTTCTAAGAGGTGTAGTGGGGTTCGCCTGTATTTTCTTGCCCAGCCCACAGAAAGGAATGACAAGCAAATAGGAAACACCGAGCAAACCGCCTGGTCATACGGGCTGCGTCTGCGTGCCATCAGCGCTGACCATGGTGACCGTATGCGTGCCAGACGTGGCCAGGTCGTCATCATGACTGGGGATGGCGAGGGTGGTGCTGCCGTGCTGGGTCACCATGCTGATGGCACTCCCCAGGGCCTGCAGGTCCTCTGGGGTGATGTTGACCTGCCGACAGATGGGAGCATGTGGGCTGGGGGTGCCAGTGGAGGATGTGTCTGTTCTCCTAGATGAGGCTAGTTTATCAGTAAGCTAGGTTAGTGTTATGTCACAGAGGGCAAACAAACACAACAGGCCCAAGGTTACTCAGAGAAGTTATACTAGAGGAATTCCACCGACCACTTCTATTTGCTTCTGGGCCCTGTTGTGTGCAATTCAATTCCTCGTAGTGACAGCTCCAGAAGGCACTAGTGTACTTGACAGAGTATTGCCGAGGGTCAAGCTATACCAGTAACTCTGGTGGGAACCAAGCCCTCACCCCATGTTCTGGCCCCTCTTCCAACATGCCTGCCTAGAGAAGGGCATCCACAGGTTTCACTGGGAGGATCGAGGCCTATCAGCCTCTGAGTAAAGAGGGAAGCTACCAACTGCTCCAGAGTTGCACACTCCAAGCTGGAAGCAGCAGGGGGGACTGTGCTATAAGCTTTGGCCTGTTATCCTTGGGCTTTTAAGGTCTATAAAGTCAAAACAGAAAAGGTAGAGCTGTTGGAACTCCGGGGCTCCCCACAGAAAATGGGGGTACTCCATCCCTAGCCCCCCAGGGCCTGTACCTGCTGGGTACCATCCTGAGTGATGAGAGCCACTTGGGCAGCCCCATCTTCCTCAGTCACCATGGCCACCTGGGTTGGGATGTCATCACCCTCTTCTTTCACCTCCGAAACATAGGTGATGCGGGGTCGTTTGGGTGGTGGGCTCTCTTCGGCTGCAGAGGCGGCTGGGAAGAGGACAGCCCAGGTTGACACCTGTCAGGGGTTGCCACTGGGAAGGTGTGGCTTGTCCCCACTCTCACCCCTTGCCTGCTCCCCTTACCCTCCAGCTGCTGCTGCTCGTAGAGGGCCTGCTCGCTCTCCTCTGTGGCTTCCAGCTCGCCGTGCACACTGCGCTTGTGCATGGCCAGGGTGGAGGTCTGCCGGTAGGTCTTGCCGCAGGTGCTACAGGTGTAGGGCTTGCAATGCGTGTGCACCACGTGGTGCTTGTACAGGCTTGAGTACTCGGTGAAGCGCTTCCCACAGCCTGGCACGGTGCAAACGTATGGCTTCTCCCCTGGGGACACTGGGCTGTGAGGGGGGTGGGAACTGGGGCTGGCAAGGGGAAAACTAAGGGGAAAGGGGCAGGGGACAGGGTTGGTGAAGGGAGGAGAGCCAGAGGGAGGGAGAGGAACTGGGACTTCAGGCTCTGAATGAAGATGGAGGGGACAGGGCTGGGGGGAGGGGACAGGGCTGGGATGAGGGAGGGGCTCGTGGGGTTTATCAGGGTGTGGTTGGGAGAGCTGAGTGTGAACAGAAGAGACAGGAGCCAGGAAGGATGCCTGCAGTGTCAGTGATGTTGGGAGAAAGGGGGCCACACATGGGCCAGCTGGGGGACATGACATTGGGGACAGGACATGTAGCAGTCACAGGGATGGTGGATGACATGGGGAGCTCAAAGTGACATTCCCCATCATTTCTGATCCTGGCTCCTTTTCAAGAGCTCAGCTGGATGCAGTAAAGGAAGCATTGCTCAATGCAAGGAAATGTGGTTCTGGGGATCCCCAAGCCCACACCGGCCTGGAACGGTTGGTTGGCAGGGAAAGGCTTTAGGCTGGGAGGTGAAACTGCCTCCCATCAGTAGCCTGCAGCAGATGGGGCCAGGGGCCTTGGAGGGGTGGTCCTTGCACACTGGCTGGCCCACCTGTATGGATGCGCACGTGATTCTTGTAGTTGGTGGCACTGGTGAAGCCACGGCCACAGTGGGGTTCAGGGCAGGTGTAGGGCCGTTCGCCCGTATGGGTGCGCACATGGACCTTGCGGATGTTGGATGTGGTAAAGGAGCGGCCGCAGCCCTCAAAAGGACACCGGAATGGGCGTTCACCTGTGCAGATCAGGGCTGTGAGGGTGGCTCAGGAAGTGGGGGGCCCTGCCAGAGCATGAATGCAATGGCTCCGGGTCCAGTGGGAAGGGCGGGTTGAGCTCCCTTTCAAAGGGAGTGCTGGGATCAGGGCCCAGCCTACCGGTGTGGGTGCGGACATGCTTCTGCAGGTCTCCTGAGGTCTTGAAGGCCTTGCTGCACAGCTCCTCTGGGCACTTGTAAGGTTTCTCTCCAGTGTGGGTGCGGACGTGGCTCTTCAGCCCATAGCCTGTGAGTGTATGGTAGAGAGGAGTGAGGAAAGCATCTCATTCTCTCTGGCTACCTCATCTGGAGGTTTCCACGTGAAGGTGTACCTCTGGGAGGCTCCAGAGCGCTGCTGGCTCAGGAAGCCCTGGTTTACTGCTAGCCCAATCCTGCCGGGGCATGTAAGAAATGCTGGACAAAGCCATTCTGCCCTCCTTCCCTCTCCAGGGGAAGCTAGAGCCATTTCAGAATGGGCAACCACGAGAAGGAATTTCACTACTTGGTCCTCATTTCACAGAGGGTAAAACAAGGCCCAGGAAGACGCCATGGCCCGTCTTACACCACGTGGTTGGTCAGTATCAGAGAGGATCCAGAGCCCAAGTGTCTCCAGCTAACCTCCCAGGCCACTTGAGCTGGCCAGGACCATGCTGCCTCCAGTCCCTACAACTGCTGAAGAGAGCAGTCTTGTGTTGGGTTCCCTTCAGGCAGGCCCCAAGGCTGACCCAGAACCCCCGACCCTCAACTGTAAACCATCTGCCTTCAGTTTCCATCCTGGAAGCTTACCCGTGGCAAAAGCCTTTCCGCAGCTGGGGAAGTCACACCTATATGGGCGGTCACCTGTATGAGCTCGCTCATGCACCTGTGAGGACAAGCAACCACACGATTCAGAGGGACCAGGACGTGGCCTAGGCTGATTCTCATCCCTCCTGCATGTCCACATGTGTAAATTTTGGTACATTCACCTCTCCCTTCAGCAGACAATGAGTAGCCTGAGGGTTAGGGACCAGTTCCAATCAGAGTTGGAGGGAAGACAGGTAAATCTATACTGGCACCCCTACCTTTAAGTGATGTGCAGTGGTGTAGAGACGCCCACAGCCCTTGTAGCCACAGCGGAATGCTCGGTCTCCAGTCTGCTGCCCTTTGCCATTATGGGCAGCCTGGCTGTCCTGCAGAACCTAAGGAACAAGTCTTGGAGTCCCTATATGTACCCTCCCCGATAAAGGGTGGGGAGGAGTAGGACATAGGGGTTAGTTGGCAGCTGGAGACCCAGGGTGAAGCCTGACAGTGGCCTCTGGGGCTGAAGGACATATCCAGGTAAAGAACAGATGCAGTGGAGAAACAGGGGTGGCTTGAGGTGCCACCACCCATCTGTGATGCAGAGGATGGCTGGTGTAGGGACTGTGATGGTAAGGTATCTGCCAGACAGCTAGGTAAGAGGGAAAGGAGGTTGTCTGAATGCATACATTTGAGTTAGGCTAACAAAAACCTCTCTTTTAATCCCAGCCACCTATGAGGCCCTGGTGGTTGATACCTTCCACTTCCTTCCTTTGGGAAATTCGTGCTTAGAAGGAACATTAACTTCGCTGTGGGGATGAGGTCACCAGGTTTACCTAGTAGAAAATAAGGCCCAGAGAGAAGTGACCATGACCCAAAGCACTCCAGGAAGTGGACAGAAATCTCAAGTTCAGTTAACAGCTTTTTAAAGAGAAATAGGACCTAGGGCCTTTTAATATGAATCCCAGTCTGAAGTTTACACACACACACACACACACACACACACACACACACACACACACACACACACACACACAAACTGAGACAGACATCTCCCATCTCTTGGTTGATTTTCCAAATGACTGCAATAGTCAGACTAAGAACCCTGCCCAGGACGGTGTGAGACGGCTGTCTCTTGCAGCATCCCCAGGAATAGAGATGATGGGGGAAGACTTGTCAGCTAGCAGGGCACTCTCTGGCCTAGCAGTTTGAATGCCACAGCTCTTATCAGAGTGTTCAAGCTCCTGACTTCAGCTTCCTGTGCATGTGCACCCTGGAAGGCTGTACTGATGACTTAAGGATTTAGGTCCTTGCCACCCATGTGGGAGACCTGGGTCGAGTTTCTGGCTCTTGGCTTCGGCCTGGCTGTTGTGACACATTTAGGGAGTGAACCAGAAAACAGAAATCTTTCTCAGTTTGTCTCCATCCCTGCCTTTCAAATAAAATGAAAATAAAAGTAAGTAGATGAATAAAGCCCAAGTCTCTTCCCATCAGCAGCTTGTCTCCCATCTGGTCTGTGAAACACACACCAAAGGGGCCTAAAGCGCCACGCTTCATTTGGAAAAGACAAGGATTTCCTCCTCCACACAGCTATTCCAGGCTTCAGGTGTCAGCTTCAGGGTACTCTGCCACATGTACACCAAGGCCCTGCAGTCCAGTCCAGCCAGGGGGCACTGGACTCAGGAAGCTCAGAGAGGCCCATACTCCTGACTCCCTCGGGCAGGATGGGAGTTCCAGGGGACAGCACTTAGACTGGCCAACACGGGGATAGCCAGGACCTTTCTCTCTGGCCTCATGTCCAAGGATGCCAGCTGCTGCATTTCATACGCCCTCACAAATGCCCACTGAGACTAATTTCCCAAGGGACTAAATGAGTCAAGGAGAAGAAAAAATACAAGGGCATCTGACTTTAGTGCACTGGGAAACTAATAAATATCATAGACGAGAGCTTTCCCAAAGAGTGCAGAGGATGATGACAGTGAAGCCACGCCCAACTTCCCATCAGATGATGTCACTGTTTCTGACAGGGCCTTCTCTCTGCAGACAGCAGGAAGAAAGCTGAGTGTAAGTGGCTGTCAGCGGTCCTGGCCAGGCTGTGATGAACGCTTTGGAGGATGACATGTGAACACTGAGTTGAGGGGAGCCAGGATGAAATGGCAGAGGGTGTAGCCTAGGTTGTGTCCAAGTCCAGGGCTGCCCTTGTCCTAGCAGGGGGCAGGTGCAAGGGATGGGCAGCATCAGGCTGTGTGTGCTCACTTTACTGGCATACTGCTCCAGGGCTACCACTGTGTCTGCGCTGAAGCCCTCCTCGTCCTCTGCAGCCAGGTCCTCCAAGCCCACCTCTGTCTGCACAGCAAGGATGGTGCTGTTGGACGCCACAGCTATGGGGTGGTGGATGTAGGCGGTGGAACCGTCTTCCAGCTGGACGGCCTCCAGGGCGCTGGGGTCATAGCCCTCTGTGGGGAACACAAGGTTAGCCCCAAAGCTGCACACGGGGAAGAGATACAGAGGGACATTGGCTTTCAGTTCATAAGAGGTACAGATGCCAAGCGGGGCTTCAGTACCCAGTCTCTCCTGGCCTCTAACGTGCTGAGCTGCTCTAGCCCTCCCCCTGCAGCCACCTCTCTAAAGGAGGAGTTCTCCTATGAATCATGGAGTGGGAACTCAAAAAGCTCCTTTAGGGCCTAATGGCAGACCATTATCACTTTGGCCCACATGACCACAGCAGCGTCCTAACCAGCTGCCCTTTCCCACTTCTAGTTCCTTCCAGGCAGCAGAGCAAACAGACACGGATGTGATGATGTCATCTAAATGCCTTTCTACTACTTCCCACTCTTTCCTTTATCCTGACACTCAAGCATGAGTGCTATGGCCCTGCCATTCTCTCCTGGCTGCACCTTATGCCTCTATCCTCATGCCAGCACTCCAGCTCTCGATAGTTCTTTGAATGTGTGAATTTCCCTGGCCCCCAGCTCCACGCCTGCCTGCGCTGACCCTTCAGTCTGCAGAACTGAGCCCTCCCTGGCACCCTGCTTCCCCCAGCCAAGTCCACTTCCATTTCCTCAGATGCTTTCCCTGAGCCTCACCCCTTATGCAAAGGCTACGTCACAGGGCATGGCCGTTCCACTTCTCTTTTCCTCACCAGACTCTGAAAACAGCCTGAGTTAGTTCCCTCTTGTGTGCTCCACCCTGAGTATACTGTGCCTGGCATGCAGCAGTTACTCCAGCAGCCATGTACAGCAGGAATAAACTGTTCTTTTTCAGTCTTAGGAGCTTTATTCTTAAACATTAGGAAGGTCTTGAGGGTCCATTTAAAGCTCTAAGGGTCGTTGGCTGTGATGAAATCATATCTTATGCCATTGAGGCTCATGGCTCAGTCATGTGCTGGCAGAAACTGGAACTCCCATGGTCTACACCAGGAAAGGGAGGTGAGGCTGCTAATCCAGGTAAACACATATGTACTTTGGAGACGACAGCTCCGTCACCTACAGCTCCATCTTCTATAGACCAGCACCCGTGGCGTGCTGCTCCTTGCTTCAGCCTCTGCCGCTCGTGCCTCCCTTCCCTGGCTGGCAGTCGTGAGAACCATGAGCCCACCTTTGGGTGTGCGGTGTATGTAGGCCATGCTGCCATCCTCCAGCTGCACAGGCTGCCCATCCTCAAAGGAGAGACATTCTGGAATGAGAACAATGCCTGACTTTCTCTGGATCTCAGGGCTTGCAGACGGTCCCTTGGGGGCCTGCTGGATCTCTCTCCCAGGGCAGGGTTTCAGGATGGCCCTCACCTTTCTGTACCGTCACTTGATGGATGTAAGCTGTGGTACCGTCCTCGAGCTGGATCACCTGTCCTTCAAGCAGCTTCTCTCCTGTGGAGGTGGAAAGGGAGAGAACAGGGCCAGGCACAGAGGAGCTCTAAGAGCTGCCGGCTTGTTTGCAGCAAAGGCCTCTGAGTCTCAGAACTATGGGCTACAGGGTTAGGTCTGGGTAACATTCTCTGTGTTCCTTCACCCCCTGCCTCCTCAAGGCCCTGAGGGTGAAGACACTGCACCAAGTAGGAACCTTACATGTCCTAAGAGATTTTCCTCTTGTCATTCCTAAGAGAAGCAACCTAGGCAGGCACTGTAGTGTACCAAGTTAACCCTCCTCCTTCCAGAGTGCCAGCATTCCGTATGGACTCTGGCTTGAGTCCCAGCTACTCCTCTGTCAATCCAGCTCACTGTTTATTGCCTAGGAAAACAGCAGAGGATGGCCCAAGTCCTTGGACCTCTGAGCCCACATGAGAGACACAGAAGAAGCTCCTGGCTTTAGACCAGCCTAACTCTGGCTGTTGTGGCTATCTGCAGAGTGAACCAGTGTATGAAACCGCACTCTGTCTCTCCTTCTCCATAATTCTGCCTTTCAAACAAAAAGAAATACAATTTTTAAAGAGCTCATTCATTTGTTATTGTTGCTAGCAAAGTGAGGATTCCATCTTAACAGGGAAATTGCTGAGATTGAAGCGAATGGAGAACAAATGATGCCCTGAAAAACTTGAAAGAACTCATGAGCCACGTTTAAGCAACAGCGTGAACTAACAAGATCAAAATGCACTTCCTCATCCTTCCCCGAGGAGAATAGGCCAAGACCCAGAGCCTCTAAAAGGCAGAGTCCAGCACTGGGCTGACAGTGATGGGTTTGGGAAGTAGGCCACGCCTTCTCTGAGTTCTAGCTCTACCTCAGATTAATTGTGATCTGGGGTACCTTTGTGCCTCAGTTTCCTTTTCTTAAAATGGGGATTGTGGGCTGGCACTGTGGTGCAGTAAGTTAAGCTACTGCTTGTAATGCTAGCATCCTCTTTGAGCACCAGTTCAAGCCCCAGCCCAATCCATTTCCCAGCTGATGTGCTTCAGAGAGCAGCAGAAGATGTTCATGTACCTGGACCCCTGCTACCCATGGGGCAGACCTGGTTAGAGCTCCTGGACGCTGGATCAGGTTTGGCCTAGTCCTGGTCGTTGCAGCCATTTGGGGAGTGAATTAGCAGATGGAAAATCTTTTTTTCTGTCTCTCCCTCTCTGTCATTCTGCTTTTCAAATAAATAATCTTTAAAAAATAAAAACAGGGCTTAAAAATTGTTCCTTCCTCATAGAGTCATGTGAGTGAGACTATTCTGCAGGTCTATGTTCACCTCGTTCTTGCTAAGCAATGTTTTTTCTGTTGACCACTGATACACTCATTTCAAATTTTTAATAAAGGACTGACTCACCTAAGACAGTGCAATAAGCAGTGCAAAAATTATCAAGATTCCAGATTTCCTTAGATATCCCCATTTGTCTTTTTTTTTTTTTAATGGGAAGTCAGATATACAGAGAGGTGGAGAGACAGAGAGGAAGATCTGTCTTCCACTGACTCACTTCCCAAGTGACCATAATGGCCAGAGCTGTGCCAATCTAAAGCCAGGAGCTTCTTCCAGGTCTCCCTCGCGGGTACAGGGTCCCAAGGCTCTGGGTCACCCTCCACTGTTTTTCTAGGCCACAAGCAGGGAGCTGGATGGAAAGCAGGACTGCTGGGATTAGAACCAGCACCATATGGGATCCTGGCGTGTGCAAGGCAAGAACTGAAACTGCTAGGATACCACGCTGAGCCCATCCCCATTTATCTTACAGGAAAATACTTCTGAAAGGTCTATAAATTAGATTTGGGCAATCTCTCCTGCACAGGTGTTGCAAATCAGAGAGAGAACGAAGGAAGGAAGGGAGGCCGAGTAATGTTTGCTCCTTTCTTTACAAGTTTCAGACTTAGGAACATGAGCCTGTGTGAGCTGGGAATAATGATCAAGCTGATGCCTCTGGTCCAGCTCTAACAGAGAACTCCACAGGCTTCCCCCCAGATGCCTCTTGAACAACAGATCCCCAACTCAGCCAAGGCAGGTGGGAGGAAAGGTAAGAAGTAGGCAAGAGAGCTGAGATGGGGGAAGAGGACCTGCTGCCTGCCCTCTCATCAAGACAGCAATAGCGGGGTCCAGTGCTGTAGCTTAGCTTATCTTGCATGCACTGGGATTCCATATAAGTACCAGTTTGTATCCCGGCTACTCCACTTCCCTTCTAGCTCCGTGCTTGTGGCCTGGGAAAGCAGTACAGGTTAACAAAAGCCTTGAGACCTTGCACCCATGTGCAAGACCATGAGGAAGCTCCTGGCTTCTGTCTTCGCATCCGCTCAGCTCCAACCATTGTGACCACTTGGAGAGTGAACCAGCAGATGGAAGATCTGTCTTTCCTTCTCTCTGTAAATCTTTCCAATAAAAATAAATAAATCTTGGGCCCATTGTGGTAGCCTACCAGCTAAAGTCTTCTCCTTGCATGCATCAGTTACCCACATGGGCACTGGTTCATACTCAGTGGCCCCGCTTCTCATCCAGCTCCCTGCTTGTGGCCTGGGAAAACAGTCAAGGACAGCCCAAAGCCTTGGGACTCTGCACCTCTGTGGGAGAGCCAGAAGAAACTCCTGGCTCCTGATGGACTCAGCTCTGTCCATTGTGGCCAAATGGGGAGTGAATCAGTGGATGGAAGATCTTCCTCTGTGTCTCTCTTCCTCTCTGTGTATCTGCCTTTCCAACAACAACAAAAAAGTAAATCTTAAAAAAAAAAAAAAAACTTGTCTTAAAAACGAGAGAGCAAGCAACAGCCAACCCTCATTTTCTCACTTTGTCTATTACAGCAGGACCACCAGAACTTGGGACTCTGAATGCTCCAGTGGAGCTGCTGTCAGCACAGTGAGTTTTGCTTAAGGCAGGAACCAAATGTTGAGAAGGGTTGTTTGAGGAAAAATTTGTAATTACATATTTATTTGAAAGAGTTTACAAAGAGAGATGGGAGAGATGAACTGAGAGAGAAAGAGAGAGAGGCAGAGAGAGAGATATCTTCCATCTACAGGCTCATTCCCCTAATGGCCACAATAGCCAGGCTTAGGCCAGGCTGACATTGAGAGCTAGGAGCTTCTTCCTGAGCAGTCATTTGGGTGCAGGAGCCCAAAGCACTTTGGCCATCTTCTGCTACCTTCTCAGGCCATTAGTAAGCAGCTGCATCAGAAGTGGAGCAGCTGGGACATCAACTGGTACCCACATGGATGCTGGAGCTGCAGGAGTCAATTTTATGATAGTCCCTGAGGAAAAAAAAATTTTTTTTTAAGATTTATTTTTATTGCAAAGATAGATATACAGAGAGGAAGAGAGACAGAGAGGAAGATCTTTCGTCCGATGATTCACTCCCCAAGTGGCCGCAATGGCTGGAGCTGAGCCAATCCAAAGCCAGGAACCAGGAGCTGGCTCTCCCACAGAGGTGCAGGGTCCCAAAGCTTTGGGCTGTCCTCAACTGCTTTCCCAGGCCACAAGCAGGGAGCTGGATGGGAAGCAGGGCTGCTGGGATTAGAACTGGCGCCCATATGGGATCCTGGGTATACAAGGTGAGGACCTTAACTACTATGCTATCTCGCAGGGCCCCGAGAAAAAAATTTTAACCTGTAATTTTCTCTAACAATTGGACTACAATGGGGAGAAGAGCTGATGAATGGGGGCCTTGAACCCATTACAACAGGGTGATTATATGTTTCCATTGGCCTGGAGCAACCCTAGGCACATTCATTAACAGCATACTCTTCCACTTTGCAAAGCATGGGGCCTAAATGACAAGTTTCATGCTCAACTTAATTAGAAAATAAATCTCGTAAAATGTTAGGGCTGCTTGCTGGCTAAGCAGGATGTTAGCTGCCTGTTGACAGAGACAAGCAGCTCTAGCAAAGTGTCAGAGGCGGTCAGCACTGTGATAGAGTGGGTAAGATGGCTGCTTGTGTTGCTGGCATCCCCTGTGGGTAAGTACCAGCTGCTCCACTTTTGATCCAGCTTATTGCTAATGCTCTTGGAAAATCAGTGGAGAATGGCCCACATACTTGTCCCCCTGCATCCATGTGGGAGATCAAGATCAATATTCGGCCTCCTGGCTTAGCCTGACCTAGCCCCAGCTATTGTAGCCATCTGAAGAGTGAACCAAAGCTGGAAGAGCTCTATGTGTGTGTGTCTCTCTCTATATATATATAACTCTACCTTTCAAAGAAATAAAAACATATCTTAAAAAGGGTCAGAGGAGGGGCCCGGCACAGTTGCATATGCTGGAAGCCCAGCTGCTTCATTTCCCATCCAGCTCCCTGCTTGTGGCCTGGGAAAGCACTCGAGGATGGGCCAAAGCCTTGAGACCTTGCATCTGCATGGGAGACCTGGAAGAAGCTCCTGGCTCTCGGCTTTGGGTAGGCTCAGCTCTGGCCGTTGTGGCCACTTGGGGAGTGAACCAGCGGGTGGAAGATCTTTCTCTATGTCTCTTTTCTCTCTGTAAATCTAACCTTCCAATAAAAACAAATCTTGAAAAAAAATGTGTCAGAGGAGTTCACTGGTCTGTCAGCTCATCAATGGGAAAACTGTGTGTGCACACACGTGTGTATGCAAGCACATGCAACACCATGGAGGATGCAGAAAACAGAGCAGGCAGGAGTGACGAGACAAAGATACAAACGGGGAGGCAGCCCAGCTAAAGGCAGCTACATAAGAAGTTGCCTTGTACCTAGACAAATGTCACACTGCTGGGAGAAAAGTGCCAACAGCTGGCTGGTATTCTGGGTCTGGCTCATGCCAACTCTATTAATTGTACTAGTGTGCCAGTAGAGCTGCCTAGTCATTAACATTAAATCTGTAAGGCAGAGGTGAGTAGACTGCTGCCACCTACTTGCTGGGGTCTTTGGGCCAGGGTGGAGGCCACTGAGGGTTTTTAATACGGGCAGAGTTGCCCATAGGCCTCTCCAGGCCAGGCTGCTGCACCTGCTGGTGAGAGCAAGAGCCAGGCTGGGGTCAGGCCAGGTAGTGGGTCTGGAGTGTTATCATCTATGGGCCTGGGCTATGCTGCTATGCCTGCTGATGCATGAGAGCCATGGCTGGGGGCGTGCTGGGCAGGGGGTGCCTAGAGGGTCTTCCTGGGCTAAGCTGAGGCATCCACTGGCATGCATGTGAGCTGGTGGTGGTGGTGGGCTAGGCCAGAAGCCTAAAGAGCTGGCATATCTGGGTTCCCTGGGAAAGGCTGCAACACTTGCTATGGGGAGAAGCCCACCAGTGGCTTTTGGTATCAGCAAGCAATACTTCCTTTCATCTTATGCTAGCCATGACACATCAAGATCTCAGACCTCAGGGACCAGAATCCATGGGTCTGTGTTCTGGCTCCATCTACGTTGCTGATTCACATGCAAAGAAGTCAGAGTAATGACGACAATATGGAGGGTCATAGCCATTAGCACTGAGAAGAAGTTCTCTGGCTCATGAGAGGAACCCATTAAGATAATATAGTAATAGTTTCGAACTTGCGATGGGTAAAGCCTATGTCCCTAACCAGCAAGATTTGATGAACCTGCACCTTTCAGTAACTCCTGGAGAAACAGTTGAAAATCTCTGAGGGGAAAATGAAATGGAGCAGATGGGTAGCTAGCTTAGGGTCATGAGCTGAAAGCCACACTTCCCTGCTCTCTGTAAGCCTCACCTGCCTAACAATCGATGACCCCTCTCCCAGGATGTACCTCCCCTTATCAAGGTTCTGGGACCATATCATGAAGCCACTCCAAAGATCATATGATCTTCTAAATAAATCTTAAACAACAACAAAACCAGAAAAATACAAAGGCAGGGGAACAGACAGACCCCAACACAAGAAGGAATGAGGAGAATGTGATCAGATGGGATCAGTTGTTTTTCATTCATTTATTCAGCCATGAATTCTTCATGAAGAACTGAAGCATGGGAACAGCGGCCAAAGCAGGCGGTAAGCAGCCCTACCCAGGGTGCCTAACTTCCTCCATTCTAGCAGACTGTTCCAGAAGGACAAGATCCGTATTGGCAAGACTTCACACAGAGGGTTTCAGGCTTCAAAAGTCTTCTAGAGTAGTTCTATTCTCAAGAGAATGAAACCTTGAGAACTGAGACACAACAGACAGCTCATGACAAGAAGCCTGTTCAGAAGGCCCCCCTCCCCACAGTCACATGGGAGACAGGTTCAGACAGCCTGTTTAGTTGCCATCAGGAAACAGGCAATTACAACCGAAATAAATAAATGACTCCTCTGTAAACTCAGGAATGGAGATTTATCTTGGAGGGGATGTTTCAATTACAGCGTGTTCATGAGGATAAGGATGTTCACTGAATCCAAAGAAAGGACAAGTAAAGAGCAGGAATGAAGGAATGTGTTTGGCCTAGTGGTGGAGCCGTCAGTTAGGAAGCCCATTTCCTACAGCGGAGTGCCTAGGATAGCAACTTGGTCCTGCTGGCACCGTGGCTCAACAGGCTAATCCTCTACATGTATGTACCAGCATCCCAACCAAATGAGCACTGGTTTGTTTCCTTTGGGAAGGCAGCATTTTCTTAAATTTTTAAAAGATTTTTTTTTCCATTGGAAAGTCAGACATACAGAGAGGAGGAGAGACAGAGAGGAAGATCTTTCGTCCACTGATTCACTCCCCAAGTGGTTGCAACGGCTGGTGCTGTGCCGAACTGAGGCCAGGAGCCAGGAACTTCTTTCCAGGTCTCCCACATGAGTGCAAGATCCCAAGGCTTTGGGCTATCCTCAACTGCTTTCCCAGGCTTCAAGCAGGAAGCTGGACGGGAAGTGGGGCCACTGGACACGAACTGGCATCCATATGGGATCCTGGTGCAGGCAAGGTGAGGATTTTTAGCTGCTAGGCTATCGTGCCAGGCCCAGCATTTACTTAATCTTTATTGGAAAGGCAGATTTACAAAGAGAAGAAAAGACAGAGAGAAAGATCTTCTATTTGCTGATTCACTCCCCAGTGGCTGCAATGGCCAGAGCTGAGCTGATCTGAAGCCAGGAACCAGGAGCTTCCTCTGAGTCTCCTACATGAGTGCAGGGTCCCAAAGCATTGCGTCATCCTCTGCTTCTTTACCAGGCCACAGGTAAGGAGCTGGATGGGAAGAAGAGCAGCCAGGACAAGAACTGGTGCCTATATGGGATGTGGCGTTTGTAGGTGGAAGATTAGTCAGTTGAGTCAAGGTGCCAGTCCCCCAAATAAACACATTTTTTTAAAAAAAAGAAAGAAAAAGAAAAGAAAGAAAGAAATTTGGCTGTGGTTCCTGATTCCAGCTTTTTGCTAATGGAAAATCCGAGAGGTAACAAGAGAAATGGCTCAAATAGTGGGGCTGATGCCATCTATGTGGAAAACCCGCACTGGCTTCCTGGCTCCTGGCTTCGGTTTAGTTCAGTCTTTGCTGCTGCTGTGGAAATGAACCAGCATTTGGGAGTGTGCATCCTCTCCTATGTATTTCTGTCTATATCTCAAATATATACTTTTTTTTAATTAAAGAGAGGAATGAGGTAGCGTTTGCCCAGTGCTGCTCAGGGAAGTCATAGCTGACACGCCTGAGATGGCAGGGCAGGAGGCAGGAGTGTCCTGCTTGCGGGTTTTGCCCTCAACAGTCTTCTTCTGCCTGCACATCTAGCACGATCTCAGTCTCCTGAGGATATGAATAGCATTACCAGACCAAATATAGTAAACTTAGGGAAATCTGAATTTCAGATAAATGACAAACTTCTTACTGCAGATTGAACATCCCTGTATCTGCAGATCTGAAATTCAAAGCTCCAAAATCCAAAACATACTCATCCTCAAAAGTCTCAGATTTTGAACTATTTTGGATATCAGATTTTGATTGGTTATAAAGGATTTTCAACTTGTAAGTCTATGTAAATATCCCAAACGCTCCCCACCAAAAAATTTCAAATCAGAAATACCTCTAGTTATGAGTTTACTGAAAAAGGCTACTTGGGCCTGGTGCAATAGCGTAATGGTTAAGGTCCTCGCCTTGAACATGCCAGGATCCCATATGGACGCCAGTTCTAATCCCGGCAGCTCCACTTCCCATCCAGCTCCCTGCTTGTGGCCTGGGAAAGCAGTCAAGGATAGCCCAAAGCCTTGGGACCCTACTACCCGTGTGGGAGACCTGGAAAGTTGTTCCCAGCTCCTAGCCTCAGATCGGAACAGCACCGGCCGTTGTGGCCACTTGGGGAGTGAATCATCGGATGGAAGATCTTATCTGTCTCTCTCCTCTCTGTATATCTTCCTTTCCAATAAAAGTAAATAAATAAATATTAAAAAAGAAAGAAAGAAAAAGGCTACTCAACCTGTACCCAGTATTATTGCTTTAGTGCTTTGTTTTTTGTTGTTGTTGTTTTTTAGTATTTAATACCGTTTTAAATATTATTTTATTTATTTGAAAGAGACAGATTTTTATGTGTCTGCCTCATGCAATATTTGGAACATAACCTATGGTGCCACAAAAATATCTGCTGTTATCTGTAAATCCAAACTGACAGTGTGTCCTCTATTCTTGGCAAGCCGCATATTAGAAATGAAGCACATATAGAAAGGTACTCGGGCGCCCCCTGGGAGCCTAGAAGAGCATCTTGTGCATAGCAGATGCTTTGCAAATCGTCTGCGTACTTCCAATTCTTGAAGTAAGACGATGACCTGCTTCTAGAAAAGTACTGAGAAACTGGACAGGAAATATGTAAGAAACAGGAAGTCACAGCACCGCTGTGTTCATCCATTCCAGGAATATGAACTGCTCACTACATGTCAGGAACTCTGCTAGGGCAAGGTCCTGGCTCTTCCAGCTCGGGCAGTCTGGCTTCCTGGGCTGTCTTTTCATCAAGTCCCACCTGAGACATTCACACGGAACAAGCCATGGCAGTGGGCAGGGTGACGGCGAGATGTCTAGAAGGGGACGCCCTTTCCCAGAGGCTATGGGGCAAGGCAGGAGGCCGAGGGCTCTGGACCACTCACCTTTGACGGCCTGCTGGATGTAGGCTGTCGTCCCATCGCTGAGGGTCACCGTCTGCATCCCCAGGCTCTCCATGGCAAACTGCTGCTCGTGCGCTTAGACATGAAGCGGGCTTCTGGCCAGCACTGAGAGCCACAGTGGAGGTCAGAGATTTTCTTCTGGGTCACAAATCTGAGAAAATGACAATGTCATGTTATGCGTTGTGCAGCTGTCTCCTCTTGCAAGGTTGCCCATAGATGGAGCTAATGAGGCAGTGGAGAAGAAGAAAAGGAGACCAGTTCTTCAGAGTAGAGAAAACGATGTTGGTTTTTTGGAAAGGGTTCAAAATATGAGTTCTAAAGGTTGGGCGCAGACAAGAAGCACATCAGCTCAACTGCTGTAAAGGAACAGCTGACTGATCAAAAGCCACTCTGAAACTGGCTCCTCCTGCAGGGGACCCCTGGGAAAGGCAGACAGCCAACCCCAAACCACCGCTGGTTCTCTATGCCTGCTCCAACATCCCTCTGTGCTCTCACCCATCTGCCCAGTGGCCCTGCTGCCTATCCTTAGGGCACATCCCACAGCTGTCCCAAGTGGCAAGTGTCCCCAACACAACTCACAGTGTCCCCTAAGCCCCAGAACTATTCTCTTCTCTAGTACCCTGTCCTGAGGTTGGCACCTCCTTCCACTCAGAATTCAGGGGGGTCCTCCCGGAGTCCTTGTCTTCCTTCAGAGGTCTGGGTGTCCATTTTGGGCAAGCATCACATCACAACTATTCTAACAGCCTCCTAACTTAGGTCTTCAGATAAGCCTTTGCCTGTTTCCAGTCCATTTTTGTACACATTGTCAGGGTGACTCTAAAAACAAACAGGACACATCTTAACACGCCCACTTTCCCAATTACAGTTCTCCACTAGCTTCCTGCTGCCCTGAGGATCTAGCTAACTGGAAGGCGTGGGTGCCGCCTCTTCCCAGCACTCAGAGCCCTAGGCTCACCTGCTCCAGTACCTATTCTTGATCATTTTCACCTTCACTGCCTACACAAGACTCTGAGTCTTAGTCAGCTCTCTGACTCCCAGTGGTGTCTGTGGTGGTGGTACTGTGGGCCCACACAGATCGTTCCAGAAGGATTCAGCAGCGTGTCTTGTGTGAGGCAGGAGCTCTGCTCTGGCTGGCCCAGCTAGCAGAACTTCCTCTGCATCCCAGGTGTAAGCCCCTCTCTGTCCACTCTACACTGTGACCCCTGCAGGAGGCTCACCTGGCCTGCCTATGTGAGCATTGTGACCTACCGGCTGACATCCTGCTGCCCACTGGGTTTTCACATCAGAGCGCCAGAAAGGGATGTCTGTGCACCACCATGTGCCCTCTCCTGCTTGAAGCCAGAAGTGATCAGTTGGGTTTTGGAGGCCCCAAGGATTGATCAAGATCAATTGTCTTTGCTAAATTACAGCCTGTCTCTGACACACTGGTTGCAATGCTCCACCCCCGGTGTGGTATCTCATTTAGATTTATTCATTCATTCCATCCATAAACTTTTAACAAACGAGCTAAACTCCAAGGAGGCAATACTACTGGTAGTCAACACCATTGCAGGGGATAACCATGTGCTAGGCACAGTGCAGACACGAACTCACTCATTCTCACAACAATCCCACACTTGGCACTATTTTGTTTGTTTCAGATTTTGAAGGTATTGAGTCCCAGTAAGTAACCTGCTTAAGGCTGCACAGCTATAAACGGGAGAGGAAACATGAACCCAGGCCATAGGATCCAAAATGTTCTAAGTATTCCACTACGTTGCCAAATACACAAGTGCTTGAAGCTGGTTGTTCATGAGCCATGAAGCCACCCAAAATTATTTTTGTGGCATGTGAGTCTACACATTTTTCTGCAGGGAGTCTGAGGTTATCATCAGAGCCTGACAAGGATAAGGCTAAAGCATCACTGCTCAAAGTGGAAATGCTAGTGTTTAATCCACTTTCTCAGATCTATTAGGATCCTCAATGAGACCCTAACCTTAGCCAGATTCCCAAAAACCTCTACAAAGTCCTTATCTTGTGAAAGCTCTGGTTCTGGCCTCTATTGGTCTGTTCCATGACTTTCAATTTTCACTTTTTAAAAATAAAAGAAACATTTATTTTTATTTGAAAAATTCACAGAGAAGGAGAGACAGAGACATCTTCCATCCACTAACTCATTCCCCAAATGGCAGCAAGAGCCAGAGCTGGGCCGGTCTGAAGCCAGGAATCTGGGGCTTCTTCTGGGTCTCCCATGTGGGTGCAGGGGCCCAAAGACCTGGGACATCCTCTACTGCTTTACCAGATGTATCAGCAGGGAGCTGGATCAGAAGTGGAGCAGCAAGGACTTGAACCCGCAACCATGTGGGATGCTGGCACGGCAAGTGAAAGCTTAGCCTACTATACCATAACACGGGCTCCAACTTTCGCTTTTTAAAAAAGATTTTAAAGGCAAAACTACAGAGGGAGGGAAGGAGTGAGGAGAGAGAAAGAGAGGGTGGAGAGAGAGAGAGGAGAGAGGAAGAAAGAGAGATTTTCCATTGCTGGTTCACTCCTCAAATGACTACAACTAGGGCTGGGCCAGGCCAAAGTCAGGAGCTAGGAGTTTCATCTGTGTCTTCCATGTAGGTGTGGCAGCCCAAGGAGTTGAGCCTCCTTTGCTGCTCCCATGTTAGCAGAGAGCTAGATCAGGAGTTGAGTGGCCAGGATAGGAACCAGCACCCAGATGGCATGCCAGCACCAACATTAAATCCTTTAATCAGGAAGAAAGAGATCTTTTCAGTAACTTATTTTAGTGTAATAGCATTGCGTCAGAAATAAGGGCATACATGGCAGATTCAGTCTAAAAATGAAGCACAATACAGGATTGAAAAGGTATTGCAGGGTAGCCTCAAGTCTTTACAGTGGGGCCCTGCAGCTCCTGCGGCTTTGGGATTCTGAGGCAGTTAGCAGTGTGGTTAATTGCACAGGTTCCGGAGTGGGCATCTGGCATGGCAATGCTTCGGTTGAAGTCTCAGCTCTACTTCGGATTTCATCTTCTTGCTATTGCGCACTCTGGGTGATAACTCCTGTACTTGGATCCTTGGCACCCATGTCGAGGAGCTGGATTAAGCTCTGGGCTCCTGGCCCAGTCCCAGCAGCTGCAGGCATTGGGGGTAGGGGATGAGAGAAGGTGAATCAGCAAGTGGAAGATCTCTGCCTCTGCCTTTCAAATGAACAAATATATATATACATCAAAAGGAGCACAGGCACAGGCTCTGGATACAGCCAGCCTGGGTCGTCCCAATGCAGGTTCTCCCTTCTAGAAGTCATGTAGATGTGGGCAAATCAATGAACCTTTCTGAGCCTCAGGTGCCCCATCTCACCAATGGGGACAATAGTGGCACCTGTTTCACAGGTAGCTGTAGGGGTGCGAAGTGTATGAAGTCACATGTATATGAAGCACTGCCATTCAAGGCGCTGACACACAGAAATACTGGCTTTACCCGAGTGGGAGACCTGGAAGAAGATCCTGGCTCCTGGCTTTGGATTGGCGCAGATCCAGCCATTGCAGTCACTTGGGGAGTCGTCGGGTGGAGGATCTTCCTCTCTGTCTCTCCTTCTCTGTATGTCTGACTTAGCAATAAAAACAAATAGATCTTAAAAAAGAAAGAAAGAAAGAAAGAAATACTGGCTTTGAGGAGGAGGGGAGGCAACGGAAGCTCAAGGCAATGCTTTTGAAGCAATGCACATTTCTAGAACGTTGTAAGTGGTGACAATAGCTGCAGGTGTGCAACACCAACTTCTAATCTTGATTGTCTCCTATGTCTGCCCCCTCACCCAGATGGCCCAAAGAGCTCTTCCACTGCTTAGAAGGACTTCACTGATACACATACACCCCTCTTATGTGTTGTCACTGCTGAAAGCGCTTTGCCTATACTAATTAAAACATTTTTATTTGAAAGGCAGAGTGATGAAACAAGGGAGAAACCAAGGGAGTGATCTTTCACAACTGGTTCATCCCCAAATGCCTGCAATAGCCAGGGCAGGGCCAGGATGTAGCTAGGAGCTCAGAATTCTATCCAAGTGGGTGGCAGGAACTCAAGTCCCAGAGCAACTACCTGCTGCTTTCCTGAGCATCTGAGTAGGCAGCTGGGTCGCAAACAGAGGAAGCTGGAACATAAACCAGCACTCTGATGGATGTGAGGATGTGAGCCTTTCAAGTGGCAGTATAACCCGCTATACTACAATGCCTGTGCCTACATTAACTCTTATGATCTGCAAATAGTCCTATGAAGATATAGGTACATTATTTCCATTTTACAAGATGCAGTGACTAAAGCTTGGAAATACAATCTGCCCAAGGCCCCAAGGCCACTAAGGGCTGACTAGGGAGTTCAAAGCCAGGCCAGCTGAAGCCAGATTCTGCACTTCTCAGTGTTTGGTACACTGCTTCCTTTGGCCAATCCACCATGACTGGCACACACTGTCAGCACGGAAACACTTGGACATGGGTTGTTTAGCTTCCATCTCAACCACTGAAACTTAAACCGAGCCCTTCTTAGCCTGCCTGCAATGGCAAGAGGGAAGGGCTGGTAGCCGCACTTAACAAAATAACCCTTCTTAGATTCAAAGAAAACAAACCTCTACCCCTTTACAAGTTTTCTGTCCAGGCTAAATAATCCCAACTCATCCACTTTTCCTCCCATAACACTGGCCTTTCAAGTGGCTCACTGTTGCTCTCTAACCTTGCCCAAGTCCTGGGTGGACTCCCAGCAGAGCTGGACTGCGGTGGGTGAGGTGAGTGCCTCTGTGGTGCCAGGCATGTCCAGGGCCCTGCCATTCTTCAGTCGGGATGTGAATCTCTGTCTAGTAGGGGGTCTCATATTGCCTGTAAAATTATTTAGTTTGGCCCTGCCAAGGCAACTGCAGGTGGGACTGATTCACTAAGTCAGTAGTGGGTTAATTTTTAAGTAGATCATCTTGTATGGCCCATGAACGATGTTATAAATATATAGCCAAACGGCCCTCTTGGCAGGAGAAAAGATTCCCCACCCCTGCTTTAAGTGACGGTCTATTCTGAATTCTCCCGTGCTGGCATCGCGCCAACAGGAGTGACCTGGGCAGAGTGACAGACTCTTGGTGGTGCTTCAGGATGGCTGTTACCTGAGGACTTCCTCCACTCAGACTCTGGTG